GCCTTGTAACTGACCTTTTATAAGGGTCATTCCGTAGACCCTCCCCGCCCCCCACCTCATCTCAGAGCCACCACCTCCCGACACACACGCCTCTCGATCTCTCCTTGCTGACACCCACCTGGATCATCCGAACGTTAGAACTGTGGAGAGAAGCCACTTAGCAAGCTTGTGTCACTGTGGACGGGCCTTTCAGACCCAGAAGGCTGAAACCTTTACAAGCTCTGTCCTGGAGCGTGTGAGATGGCAGCAGGGGTCAGAGGTGAAGGTCACAATATGGGAGGAGGGGAATAAATCCTGTATCATGAACAACAATGGCTGCAATCCCCACTGACAATGATGCCATTGTGGGCTATTGGTTGCTTAGTGTGTCCTGGAGCTGTGCCTAATAGAGTTATAGGGCTGATGTGATGGCTGCGTAGCAAGGAGAGTAGTGTCCTTTTATATGAAGGAGGCAACTGCCTAAGAGCTTGAAAAGAGGTCTCAGCGTCTTGGTTTCTGCGTGAAAGCCTGGTTAGTGTGTGTGAGTTTGAATGTGTGTGAGTGTGCATCAGTGAGGGGGCACCACATTTGACTCCTGTTTCTTAAGACTAACACGTTGATGTTTTGTGCGTTGGCACCCCACACCAATGTTATTATTTCAGCACATTTTGGGGGAATTGTCTCTTCTTTTTGGTGTAAACACTGCCATAGACCCATCCATCTATTTTCTTCCAATTATCCTCTGCAGGGTCACGGGAAGCCTGAGCCTATCCCAGCTGACTTTGGGCAGAAGGCAGACTACACACCAATCACAGGGCGCCTATAGAGAAAGAGAATGATTCACACTCGCATTCAAACCGTCACCGAATGGCAAGTGAACAAACAGTGGCTGCACCAAAAGTCTGTAAAGTGAACCACAACACAACCGGTGATGGTCCAAGCGATTACAAATGGTATTGCTGAGTCAGGTGTCATCAATTGATATCGAAGGCCACCGTGTGTTGTGTTGAATAATAAATAACATTTTGCTGAAACGTAACTCATGAAAATCAGGATTGTTTTTGTAGTCCAATAGAATAATTGAAAAAAAAAGACTGTAGTTAATACGGTTTGAAGAAAAATGATGGAAGCAGGAAAACCAATCACTGAGGTCGAACAGTTTCAGATTGGTGCACCTGACATAGTCCAGCTGTGTTGGGTTTGAAGCGGGACTTCTACACACTGCATGTTTCAGTTCTTCCCACATACAGGATGTTTAAAAGTCTTAGGATGAGGACTAATTGAAGACCATTTCAAAATGCTGCCGGTTAATGTTTTTGTTCTTAGCCATTCTTGAGTATTTTGCAAAGCGTTTTGGATCATTATCCTGTCGGGAGAAACCCATCACCGGTGACTGAGAATTCACTTTTCACACTTTTTGCCACTCGGCAGGTCTTTTTTTTTTTTTCAAGAATGCCTTGATAATCTTGAGAATTCATTGTACCATGCACGCGTTTAAAAATAATAATAAACAGGTTACCGAGTATTTCCATGTTTCACTGTTGGTTTTTTTTTTGTTCTTTTGACCCTCTTGCTCTGAAGTGACAGTTCGAACCATGACATCACTTTTCAGTGCAGTAAGTGCAGTGAATTCAGCATCACTTTGGACTAGAAAATGTCCAAAAACTAAAACGTCACCTCTAACTGTAACTCAAGTGTAAAAAGGCACTACTTGAAAGACAAACTCATTCAACATCTCATGAATGTTTGCTCCTTGAGCTCTAAACGGTTCGTCCGTCATTTGGCCCTCCACTTAAAACAAGATGTGGCAAAGTCTTCTGGACGAACAGTGGACCCTCATACCACGACATAACTCAGACACCTCAATGTGGCGGTATGCCGCGAGTTCCTCAGTTGTCACCTCGGCATGGCAGAACGGAGGGACAAATTATGAGTGGTGGCTTTGACCGCTGCATGCTCAACTAACACGGAGGACAGAAGTGGCATGATCTGACCAAGAGAGTCAGACAGGCTGACACAGGAACGTTTGGAAAAATTGTAAATCATTTTTTTTCTGATGCTCCCATTCGACATTCCCTTCACCAAACATTGGTTTTCTGTTTATTTTTTTTCCTTACTCGTTGGCTTTTCTATGACCCCCTCAAAAGAACAAGCTATGTTTCCCAGGGACCAGCTATTTGAAGCTCATACTTTTGGTCATCTAAGGTTTTCAGCTCCATTCAGACACTGTCCCCACTTACATTTCCACAATGACAAGATCCCCGGGGCCAGACCATAGCCGTCCTACACTCTGCCCACAGTTGAGTTGCCTCTGGCAGCACTACTGCATGCTTTGTGTGCTGGTTCTGGCCACCAACCAGGGAAACCCCACAGTCTCTCCATGGTGAATGCCGAACACTCTGCCAAGACCATTATGCATCCCTTCAATGGCCGTGAATAGCGGCACACTACAGTGCGGCAGATTGTTAAGATGTGCAATTCACCCTGGGCTACGTTGTGAGACCATGACACATATACAAACACTGATGAACTACACTAATCCCTGATATGGTTTCTCGGTGTTGTGTCTTTTAATGACGGACAACAAACAAAGCAAATCCTGATAAAATGTGCCCTACATCGAAAGCTACGGAAATATGAAAACAGTTGATGAATGATGTTCCTTGACACAGTTAGTGGGCTAAAGCTAAACAAGCATTACTCCCAAAAGCCAGGAGATTACTATCAAAATTTGGTGGCAGCAGGAAGCCTACCACGTGCACATTTAACACTCTTATGTGGGGATTAATGTTCATAATTTCCCGACAGCGTCAACAATACAATATCGAACCACGCAGAATCGAGTGGCTCGAAGGAACAAAAACGGACCATTTTCAAACGATCCTATAGCCATAGCTCATTCAGATTTCCTACTTTTGCGGTAATAGACCTTCTCCTTCTGACTATTTCTTCGCTATTGTTAAACTCTTAGTTTCCAAGGTTCACTGGCATATTGCAGTTGTGGGTATCAAGATGAGTCACACCAGCCAGCAGGCAGCAGGCAGGCCTCTTGCGTTAATCTTACGATTAGCCCACACTGATCCCATCAGGACTGCCTAGATCTGTGGTGCAGAGCCTAAAGGTTTATCCCAAAAGTGATCTGTCGCTAACCCTAACCACAGCATGCACAAATGGGGCACGCGAGCAAATACAAGGCGCACCGAGAACATTTCCACTACTTTAAATGCCGTTTGTCAGCGTAACATATCTCGAGAGCTCATCGTGCCTGTCCTCACTTGACATATGTGGAGCACCGGCGCTGATGTGCGTCAAAGAGTGTGGTGGTAGTGTGATGTGGAAATGTGTCACACAGGTCAGACCAAGAAGTTAGGGGGGCAAGGAGTGTGCCCCTCTGACACTGGACGGTGGAGGTCACGGGATAGCTGCTAAGTGACATGCCGTGACAGGCTTCGAGTCTTCTCAAAGTGGGAACGGCACAGAAGGCACAAAAGCAAACACTAACACTTTGTATTTGTGCCCAAATATGTTCACACACACACACACACACACACACACACACACACACACACACACACACACACACACACACAAGCACATTCGTCCAACATGCAGTAACACCTGCTGAATTTGACTACTGACAAGCAGTACACCGTATGTCTCAAAATAAACAAACATGCCATTAGTCTAGCAATTTAACATGCGCACAACATACGAGTGGTAAAGATACTTTTGTGAACGATTAACGCGTGTTTGATTGAACCACGTGTGAAGATGTGAGTGAGAAACTCCATTATGTGTTTCTCTGAGACATTGACAGCTAATATTTTCCATTCAGGTCGGTTAGTTGAGAAAGTTCCATGGACACTGGACACAGGCAAGAATCGTCTTACTGATGGGAAGAAGGAATGCTGGAGGCAATTACCACCCTGACTCTGTGTCTTTGGGTCAAAAGGGGACCAGCCATAAACGCGCGGACACCAACAGAAACAGACCTCTGACCAGGCAGACCTTGTTTCACTCTCCCTGCAGCCACACATCAGCTGGGGGAAGAGGCCCTGGTTGTTTAAATTTACAGCACCATGTCATTCTGTGTCATGAGAGAACGACAATGCTTGGACATGAATATACGCGCAGTACATTAATGCTAATATGCAGTTAAAATTCATTGTTTCTAGATACTCTTTTCATTTTAGTGTAGACTCTGCCACTAATGTGTTCAGCTGAATGATCTCAGCGATAATTACAAGTGGTCCCACGCACACATGCGCAAACGTTGACAATTTTGCTGCTGAACGTGTTTGACAAGCCCAACAAGAATATAGCACACACTCGAGAGGTACTTAGGTGACACCATCACCACTGAGACAAAAGAGCTAAACAAAATGCTTCCTGGATGCCCTAAAGAAAAGCTCAAACAATAACTCCTCTGTTATACTAATGTGTATAGCATGATGTCACCTTAATGTTACCTGTGTGTTTTGTCGTATTATTATTTTATGTCGAATGTTCTGAAAAGAACTCTGTTACAGCTGCAGCTGGTGTGAGAGGCTTTATAAAAAAATGATGTTTTGTATAGTCATGTATACAGCATTTTGAGGCAACTTGAAAATGACAGCTCACATCAATAATTTCTTGTTTTTGAACGTTAAAACAAGAAATGTAAAAGGGATTATTTATATTTGATGGTTCTAATACGTGTATTACGTTTTTATCTTTCATTCATGCCATGCGGGCCATTTTCAGCTGTTACAGTGCAGCTTGAGCAGACCTGAATGAAAAGGTCCGGATCGTACCATTCTGGCTTAGGGATAAAATTAATTCTAAAACGACATAACCGTTTGTAAAATAAAATTATATTTGTCATAATGCAGTTGAAAGTTTTCGCTTAATTCTGACAACTATATACAATATAACAACGAGTGTTGCGTGTGGTTGTCAAGCATGCGCGTAAAATAACCCCCCTACCGTGAGAGCGGGTTGGACCAGTCCAAGATGATGTTAGAACTGCCCATTAAAGTCGCTCGACTTCCTCGACGAACTAAAGACGAGCTCAGTGCACTGTACTGCAAGAAGGTACAGGCTGACAATTGGCATCTTTAAAAAGTCCGCAGACAGAATCTATTTGGACTTTGGTTGCTTTATGAAACCAGATTATTCGCTGGGATTTTCTTTTCGTCGAATCAATTTTAGGACGTACAGGCTGATTTGAAATTGAAGTAGCCGAAATTCGGTTCCGTGACGAAGGAACAAAGGTGCATTTTTCATCCTTTTGTGTTTCTTTTTTTTCTTTATACTTCGAGACAACGACAGCAAACTGGACTACTCTTGTGAAACGGGAATGATTTATCCTCCCGAAGGTTTATTCTACATCGAGATGGATCCAGCACCACCAGGTAACACTAACTACTGCAGCCATTGTCTGTCTTTTGGGGTCTTAAAATCGTCTGTCAGCTCCCGTTCGCTTGCTTTTCAGCTTTAATGGTGTCGTGTGACAAGAATGTTCGGCTTGACATGTGCCAAATGTATGGAATTTTGAGCAAAACGTTCAAATGGTCAGGTCGTGGGTGCTGCGCCTCCTCGGTGCTATTGCCCAGGCATGCATAGCGCAATTCGCTTGCCAATTACGTAATACCTCAGCGGACCAGGCGCAGTGGTTCGCCTCTTTTCCTTTGTCCCGGCACGTACGACTAAATTGACGACAGGCACCGCCGTTGAGTATCGCCGAGCCCCCTTTAAAACGTGTGAGGACTTGGTGGACACCCATGACATGGCACGGGGAACATTTTGAAGGAAATATGGTGCGTCAACGGGCACCGCATGAAACGAGCGCTTTGTTCTCCTCGGCAGCCAGCCGTGCTTAATTAGTGCTAGCTCGCAAAGTAGGCTAGAAGGCGAGCGGGCGAGACGACCCATCTCATGCCGTCATTGCCGTGGGGCGACTGGTGCCTTTTTTTCCTTCATGCATATTTGTCTTTTTCCTTATCGTCTTACACTGTGCTCGACGTTTTATTCTTTTTCTTTTGACAACTTGGAAAACTGCGCCATAATTGTTGACGTGCATACTCAAGAGGGGTTGTGCTAAACACGACATTGGCCACCAATGCTACGACTTAATGATTCGGTATCTAAACGATCCATGACACGACCGTCCCAGAAGAATCAATTGACAATGGAGCAAAACCAGGTTTTACCGTCATGGATTGGAGTCTCCAGTTCAGGGTTAATGACTTGGCTCTGGCTCTGTTCTATGCTGCTGGCTGGTACGCGGCTTTGGAATCCACACAAATTTCTTGGCAGCCAACAGAAAAAGGGGAAGGTGTGCAGGTTTAATTTTACTGGGGCCAGCAGCTTTTGGTTTTTTAGCCTGCCAAATAACTGCTTCTGCTGCACCTGACTTTTGTTTATTTTAAGGTCAGAAAAAGAGCGAATGGTGGGTGAAACCCACGTTTTCTCCCTTCACAGGCAGCTCTTGTCGTCTGCCCAACTTCCCCATGAAAGGCACTTTTGTCCTATGTTGAAATATATCGCCCCTCACCTTCTCTTGATGCGGTTTGCCCTCGTTTTTCATCCTTAGGAAAACGCTCAAGACTTTTGGCCAAGTCAGATGTTCTTTTCCTTCAAGCCAGTAGAAAAAAAAGGCTGCAGTAATTACAACAAGATGGGTCATGAAGTTCAAAATATAATTTAGTTCTGATTCTCCACTTAAGTGCAATTGGTCAATAAATTAAGACTCAAACTGTAGAGAATTATGTAGTTAAGGCAAGACTTCCATGATGACATCACGCTGTAACAAACTTGTCTCAGATTAGTCTGAAATACTAAATTGCAAGCCCCAACAATTATATTTATCGTGTGACAGTGAGAAAATAGACTGCGTACCACTATTGTGGGCAACTGCCAAATAATACTCAAATTTCTGATAAGTCATAACGCAAGATCGTGCAACAACTACCCTTGGGTGTCAGTCATGATTTGGCATGTGACATCTTTTGGAAACATGCCTGGGCTTGTTCCTGACAAGCCACCAGGCAAGGCTGTGACTCTTTCATGGGTAGGAGGTGTGGAGTGATCGGAGTTTATAATCTTTGAGACATATATAACTATGTATATGTATATGTGTTTTGTTTTTGACTGATAGCGCTCTTTCTAAGAATCATCCTAATCCTTGGTTTTCATTTCTGTCCCTTCCAGCGCTCCCTCCTAGGTCAACAAAGCCAATGTCTTCCGCCATGAACAATAACTGCCTTTCCCCGCAGTGCAACTCGCTACAGGATGCTGAATGGTACTGGGGAGATGTGACCAGGTAAAAAGAAGAAGGGCGAATTTAAATACGTCCCCTTTGTACTGCTTGGTGATTCACTGTTTAAAGGTGTCGTCATGTTTAATCTGTTAACTGATTTTCCCTCAGGGATGAGGTAAACGAGAAGCTGCGTGACACACCTGACGGCTCCTTCCTGGTACGCGACGCCTCCACAAAGCTGCAGGGAGACTTTACGCTGACGTTAAGGTAAAATGAGTTCAGAAAACCGACGGAGGAGTGCGTCGGAAATTGTTTTGTTCGCTCTTTTACACGAAATGACGGGACAAATTGTGGTTCACAGGAAAGATGGCCATAATAAACTGATCAAGATTTACCACCGCGATGGGAAGTATGGCTTCTCGGACCCGCTTACGTTCACTTCGGTGGTGGAGCTTATTTGGCATTATCAGCACCACCCGTTAGTGGAGTACAACGCCACACTGGACCTGATGCTCACACATCCAGTGTCGCGCTTCCAACAGGTTAGTAGAAACTGCTGCTGTGACTTCAGATTAGCGATGGTCAGTCGTCTCACAGACAATTGGGAGGATTCTTTTTTTTTTTTTTTTTTTTTTTTTAAACAAGCCCCTAATACAGTACTCGCTTTGTATTTCTTAACCGGTTGCTGTTGCATAACTAATTACAATTTGCCTTTTGCCAACTGCCTCCGACCAATAACTGCAGATAATTGTGTGATTGCTGTGTGTTTTGTAATTGCAATTTGCGACGACTGATTCCAGAGTTTTCAACAGGATTCGTCAAGTAAATATCTAACCTTTTATAAATCCGATTTGTTTTCACATCAGGCAAAGGAGAACAGCGTCGATGTCGCCGGAAGAAAGCTCAAAGAGGTCCATTGTCAGTATCAAGAGAAATCTCAGGAGTTTGATCGTCTTTATGAAGCCTTCACGAAGACTTCGCAGGTAATAACTGAAGTTGAAATGACCTCTGGTGGTCTTCAACGCCTGAGTGAAAATCAATCAGTTTGACTGGCGTCCTCTAAATGGATTCATTCTCTGATGTCAGGAGATCCAAATGAAACAAACGGCAATCGAGGCGTTCAACGAGACGATGATGATCTTTGAGGAGCAGTGTCGTGAACAGGAGCGCTACGGGGAAGAATTTGAGAGGAACAATCCATCCGAGGGAGCCGACAAAGATCTTGAGAGGTGCGAACATGGATATTTCAAAATGAACGCTGCATGGCATAATAAACATTTGTTTGAAGATGTCATCATCTTGAAATGTTCGTCAGACCTTTCCTTCCTGTCTGTAGCTTTCTGATCAACTACGAGAAGCTGAAGTGCCGCCTGAGCGACATTTATGACAGCAAGATCCATCTGGAGGAAGACTTGAGAAGCCAGGTGGAGGACTACAGAGAGACGGACAGAAAGATGAACAGTTTGCGGCCAGACCTAATCCAGCTGCGCAACATCAGAGACCAGTATCTCAAGTGAGTGTTCGGCGGTCGAACGGCGTTGTCATAACGTCTCATGGTCTGGGAATCCCATGAACTACATCGCTAATGTTGAATTGTATTTGATTGGTTTTTCGACGCGCAGCTGGCTCAATCACAAAGGTGTACGACAGAAACGCATCAACGACTGGCTCGGGATACTAAAAGACAGCCTTGACGAGTACGTATGAACCGAAGTGTTGAAAGAAGTTTGTTACCGCTGAACAATCTGTAGATGGGCTCCGGATTAAAACAAGGTTAACTTTTTGTTTGTTTGTTTGTTTTCTCAGTACATACGTGTTGAAAGGAGACGAGAAGAATTTACCGCATCAGGACGAGGCGAGTTGGTTTGTCGGCGAACTAAGCAGGACGCAGGCCGAAGAGATGCTTCAGGGGAAAGATCCCGGAACCTTCTTAATCCGTGAGAGCAGCAAGCAAGGCTGCTACGCCTGCTCCGTTGTGTGAGTTTCTTCATCAAAAACTGGACAACGAATCAACTCGTGATATTGAAGTGTGTCCACTCATTGATGTTTTGGTGTTGCCCCCCCCCCCCCCCATTTTAGCGTGAACGAAGAAGTGAAGCACTGCATGATCTACAGCACGCCGCATGGTTACGGCTTTGCCGAGCCCTACGACGTCCACTGCTCACTGAAGGACCTCGTCCTGCACTACCGCTTGCACTCCTTAGTGCAACACAATGACGCCCTCGATGTGAGGCTGTCGCATCCAGTGCACGCCAAAGCGACGACCGCATTGCCTTCGCAGCACGCAGAGGAGCACAAACTCTTACAGACTCCCAAACAGACAGTGAGGCTCCCGCCGGCCGCTCCAGAGATGTAAAACACCCGAGATTCTATAAAGGACGTGTTTACTGTATCCTGCACAGAAACGACTGCATCGAGGTGCATTGTTGAAATGTTGCACTAAAGTGATTCCATCAGTTTTTGTGAATGCAATTTCACAGATTGAAGTGGGACCGGAACTTGAATGTCAGCTTCTATTATTTTAGGTTTTCGAGAGACTGTTAAATGTTTCTGAAAAAGAAATTGTACTTCATATATTGTTGTTCGTTTTGTGGGACGTTCTTTTTTTTGGGTGGAGATGTTGACGACCGCTCAGTTGCTCGCTGACAGCAGATGCCGCATCTTGGTTTGACTGCTACAATCTGAGCTGACGTTTGCCGGAGATTTTTCCCGAAAACGGAATCGGCTATGAAAAGCGATCAGTAGGTGACACAAGCATATTACATTACTACTACTTTAGTGCATTGGTGTGGAGAAAATGGTGCTGTACACAGGCTGTTTCTGTCATCCTGGTTTGGTGGACCAAACCTTTTTCTGGGTAAATACCACTTGTGAATATGTGAAAAATTGTGGTGCATCTTGACAATTTGCCCCGTTCATAGAGTGGATATTATGTAGCATTAACATCCTATAGAAAACTATTGTAAAAGCATACTCAATGTTATACCCATTGACCAAAGCACTTGATGGAGAGCAAAAATACATGCCCCGTTTTGCCCAATCAGTGCATTTGGGCAAGCCAAGGGCAATTATCTACACCTGCTGATGTGCTGATGAAAACATAATCTGAAGTACTGTATGTTATATTCTGTTACTCAAAAGAAGTATAAGCTTTTTTGTATTCTATATTTTTTCTACAAACATGCCACAAAGACGAAAGCTTGAAGAAAGTGCAATCCAACAGTATTTCTATTGTTGCAATGTGTGACGGTGGTGTGAAGGTTTATGCTGTTACGAATGGTTGACATGCGCCACAAAAAAAAAAAAAAATGCACTCTTTGGTGGTGTCGGTAAGATATGGCCTCCAATGTTCATTTTAAACAGTAAGCGGTCCGGAAGTATCCTGCCTCCATTACTTGAATTGTGGCATTGCTAGAGCGATGAATGTGTTTCATGACATGCAGCCTACATAACTAATGGCGCGAGGAATCTGTTTAACTTGGCACATTTTTTTTCTCTCCAAGTTTGTGAACAACAGAAACTCTGTACTGAGAAATTAAAATGTATTTCTGAGGTTCCTACTTGGGATGAGGCCGATTTGGCCTTATATAGTTAAAAAAAAAAAAAGAAACTCCAGATGAGGATGGAGGAAATGCCTTGGGTGAAGCTGAGCAATGTGAGATCCTGACCTTTTTCTTGCTGAAAGACAATAAACTGAGAAGGGTTTTGTCAATTTATACCATTTGCTCTGGTTTTTTTTTTGTTTTTTTTCCCCACAGTCAATTGATGAGAGAAGGCATGCTTGGCTAGATTCTATTTTACGTTAGAATATTTATTATAATTTCAAAACATCCCAATGGGTCATTAACATTTAGTTGGCGTCGGGTGGATTATCAACGAGAGCAAACCTGTCAAATTAAGAGTTTAAATGTAGGCTGAACAATCGTATCGATTTGTTTAAATAAATACACTGACCAAATTTGGACATGGGAGATTTCGGCCCAGTGGCAGCAATTTCTATCTTATGTAGCCATTGCATTCCAATGAGCTTTGTCCTGGCTTCAGCGGGCAAGGAAGCCACAGGACATAATGTGGACAGATGGAAGAGAAAGGAAGTGACAAAGACAATAGCAGGATGTGCTGTGGAACTCGTTTGCCCTGCCCAGTACATCCGGATTATCTCACTCCAAAAAAATCTGGATCATTTTGAACATGCTTCTATTTAATTTCAGGATAGAAGAAAAGATCCGTTTCCAAACATTAGAATATAGTGGGAAGCCTTAATTTCGTTCGCAGGAGTTTATCACACACCACTGTGATGTAAGAAATACACAAAACATCTAAAATGAACCATAGTGCTATCAGGTCAGAAGCCCTTGTAGAAACACCGATATATAGAGACCACTGATTAGGGCAATGTCCCCAGTTGACACCGGTGTGACCAAGATCAACATGTGACCTCTTTTAGCCTTCACATAAGGTCCACATTAGGCAGGGATTATAAAGGCGAAGAGGGCAAGGATGTACTCGAGGAGAGCCTCGCTTCCAAGCCATGGATTATTCACCCATACCTGTGTCAGCATAGAGCTGGTGGAAAGGTCCCATGACTAGAACCACTCGGATGGGCCCCTCATTGTAAAAGAAAACAAAAGACCATATGTGTGGGTAAATAAGAGAAACTGATTTTTTTGAACTCATGTAAAGAATCATGTGCATTTACTACTTTTAGGGAGGTTGCATTGGTCCCTTGAACATTTCCTGCAACCTGAAATATTCCCCCAGTCTGGCTACTTCCCAGAGTAACTTGCCTACACAGCAGTTAAACTAACACAACTCCATCTCTTTTTCCTTCCCCAAACTCCCTCCCTCTCTCGACGTAAAAAGCCAGCATCAACGCCCTTTTCCTCTCAAAAATAATACACACATACTCCTACTCCATTTCCTTCGTCCTTCATTTTCATTCCCATTTTCATGTGTCAGCACACACACACGCACACGCACGTACACGCACACACATACATATACACGAATACACGGACTCGCTCGTGCGCTGAAGTTCTTAATTTAAACAAGTCACGGACTGGCTCGTACACTGAAGTTCTTAATTTATATAAGTCCGAAGTGAGGGAGCAGTTGGACGAATTTGTTGTGTTGTCACATTTAGAATGTAGGGGGAACCTTAGGTGACTTAGAAGCTTTCAGGAAAAAAAAAGCTTCAGGCATTCAGCGCGGCGACGTCCAATCACGTCACTCCTCCTCTCTGTCTCCGTCCGATTCCTCCGCGTTCAGGCCAGACTCTCAGCCAATGGTAAGACGAGAACGTGAAGCGTGTCATCCAATCCAGAGCCAGTTGCTATGTCGAAGGAAGAATCGATAAAGCGGATAGTGACATTTTTTTTTTTTACCTCCTCGTTTTATTAGCTCACGACCGATCTCATAGGCTGAGATCTAGAAGCTTTGTTGTTTACCTGTCCAAGCATCGAGTAAACTAAAAAAAACACTGAACACACGCTTCACATTATTCTGAATCTACTCCTACAACAGAACATGACATAATTAAGACACTTCACACTGTCTGTTTGGCACTAGGTTGTATGCTCCGTGTTGAGGACAAAAAAAGTGATCTTTAATTAACAACAATCCCTCTTCTCTTTAGCTATATTATGCGAGGTTGCAAATTATTTAAATTCTAACACATTTTTAATTGAAAAGAAAACAAGCAAGTGCTCAAAAGATGTAGAATGCCACTGTAATTGATTATAAATAAAATAAAATGTCAACTCGTTTATTTAATTGGTTAAATTTGCTCCACTCCAATGAAAGTACTAATCTGGGAAGACACTGAGCATGTTCATGATAATAATTGCAACCCCCCCCCCCAAAAAAAATAAAATAAAATAAAAAAAACTCACGATATACAGTAGCTGGCTCATTGGCTTTGTTGCTTACCGGCTTACCTGAACATGAATATCAAAAATATGCAACACGTTATTTCAATAACTATGTTTACGTGTCAACATTTCCAAATGATCACTTCTACACATTCCAAGGAAATCACAACGTCCTATCATTTGGAAACTATTTTTAGAACATGCTCGCAGGCTTTTCATGAGATACATGGTCGCTACCTAATGCATGTTGGTACCACATTAGTGAGCTTTGCCTAAGTATGCTTTATGAACAATTAGAAATATAAAACTGGAAATGGCAAAAATACTCAAAGAAAAAAAGAAACTGGAAAAAGTGGGATTCATTGATTGAAGTAAAAGTAAATACAGATTCAGATACATCGCTGCAGAAGGTTTGTTGAAATTACTTTATTTTATTTCCTCAAGTGGTTGCACGAAATTAAATAATCTGGATCCAGATAAATGTCAGTGTATGTTTTTCAGTACAAAAGTACAAATTATTGATTTTTGTCTATTATCTACAATAATTGGTGGCACAGTATAGATGAGTGGTTAGCACATCTGCCTCACATTTCTAAGCTTCCTCCCATATTCCAAAAACATGCTTCTTCAGTAAAAATAAATAGTAAAATACAGTACAGGTACCTGAAAAATCGACAGAAATTGAGTAACAAAGTATTTGCACGAAATAAAATCAAATATAAAAGCTGTATGTTTTGGATCACCGTGTTTGGATAAGACCTTCACATCGCACTGATTAAAGGTGACACTAAATCAGCTACAAGGGACTAATTTAGCACTGCCAATTCAATCAATCCAAATCCGCTCATTATATTGCGTTTGCCCACCAAGCTTATCTGTTGTCAATACTGTCTATTCCGACTATAGAGTAGGCTAAATATCATCATCACTGTGTGACAAACTAAAGCCACAGGAGCAACGGTCCATCCAAAACACAGCGTGAAACTAAAGACACAAGGACAGGCTTGTCTGGAGCATTAAAAAAAAAAACAAATCCGCAATTCAAGGGCTGCACGAGGCTCCATGGTTTCCTCAGAATGCCCGTTCTTCATTTTCCAAGACGTTTTGGACAATTCTATGCTTCCAACATTGCGGGGAAAGTTAGTGGAAGGTCCCCTCCCTGTCCTTTCCAGTGTATGTCTTGACTCCACCGTGACCAAACAAGGTACATAAAGGCATGGTTGGATCACATTGGTTTCGGGGAACTTGATTGGTCGTCACAGGGCCCAGAGACTGTGTGCCATGCCCCCTTGTCCAACCTCTCTGACCTCTGACGTTTTGAATGAATAAGACAAAAATTCCCCACACACTACTTAATTGTCCTCTGAGTAGAAACTGTATCAGTTGAAGATGAGAGTTTTGATCTACATATTGTCCATACACATAACACAGGTACAAATTTTCAATTTGAATTAACTTTTTTTCAAGACGTGCGCACAGATAATTCCTATAAATTACCTCGCTGCACAAAAATGAAAGTCTAAGGCATGCAATACTCTCTTAGATAATCTGTTTACTAAAGCGTAGCTTTGACATTGATTCGATCAAGTGTTCATGGTCCAGTATTGCAGTACTGTCAGTTGGCAGTACCCTCATTCATTTCTTTACATGGTGTGAACTATTGCAATTGGCGCTTATCGGAGCAACAATTAGTCCCTAGAACACAGTCTATGAACCAAATAAGACTAGTAAAACCTCACAGCATGTAATTACTTTTCAACAAACTCTCATCTATTATGTGTTCCCATAAAACCAAATCTCATGATGTTTTCATTCCTGGTGGAGACAAAGTCTCACCAGAGGCCAGAGATCTAACAGAAAGCCAGACATGCTGCGTTTTTATAAAGAATGATAATTATGGTGACCACTTTCCATAGAATGGCCCTCACACTATTCCTTTTTTCCTCCGAGCTCATGAGATTCTGCGAGCAAGTCTTTCTTCCCCCTTTCATCACATTAGCGATCACATGGCGATGGTGACAGGAAGAACAGTGGAAACAATGATTGCACCCATGATGAGCAAAAAAAAAAAAAAAGTTGTAAAGTCAAAGATGGGGGAGTTATATCATCTTAAAAAATGCATTTTTAAAATTCAAATATTCAGTTAAATGGATCACATTCACAAAGCACACTTGTTTTCTTTCTTTCTTTTTTTTTGGTTTTTAAATCAAAACTTGCTTTTCCCCAAATCAACAGCAAGAAAAAAAAACCATAGCACTGATAAAAAATAAACAACAAAAATAATAAAAGTCACCAGTAATGCCAGAATTATTTCTGGCCTTTTTTCCTGTTTAATTAATATGAATATCTATTCATTTTCAACACCACTTATCTGAACAGGGTTGCGGGGGCTTGGGGGCTATCCCCGCTAACTTCGGGCAAAAGGGAGACTACACCCTGAACTGGTCGCCAGTATCCTACAGAGACAAACAACCATTCACACCTACACCATCACTGAATGGGAACCAATCCCACGCTGTCCGTTCACAAGTGAGGCGAGTGTACCATTGACTAAACCATTAGCGACTTGAGTATGAAAGTTTTTTTTTTTAATTAAAAAATGTTACAAATTGAATGGAAGCCGGAACATTACATCGAAACAACTCTTGAATTGTAACACAGCAGTAATTGCGTGACAATTGCTAAAAATAATATGATTAAAACATCCAGCATCTCAACCTTGTGGATATTCATTCACACTCAAGTGAGGCTGATTAGAGGGTGAGGGAGGCATTTGTTTGTCAACATTGTCTGATCAGCACTGAAATCAGGAGGACACTGAGACCAACCCCCTGAGGCCCACATAGTTTCATTAAAACAGATAAATGAAGTAAAATAAAGTACAGTATGTCCTTTCATGGAGGAAACTGCTAACCAATGCTCAAAGTCAATTATAGCCTAATAATGGAGAACCTGATTATAATAACTGACATAACATCATTACATGTTTTACATTTTACACTCTGACGGGGAGCATGGAGAGACTCAAGTAGGCTTTTATATCTCTCCATTTTCCATGGCCTCATGGGATGAATAAACATTTCTCAATCTGAATAGTGCTTGTCCTTAATTCGGGCCAAGCGTGAACTGGAGCCTGGGCCAAATGACTTTGGGTAACACCCGGGCACTTGTCACTCCACTCCAAAACACTAATTTAAGGTTGAACAGCTTTAAAATACAAATTGTTGATATTTATGCCAGAAATGTTTGTGAGCACAACAAAGCAATCAAGTTGTTTGCTCCTAAATAATTTGATGAGTTGTCTTTATGAATATCTTCAAGTTAGGGGACAATGCAGGGGACAATTATTGCTGCAACCTCTTATTTCTTTGTTTTGAAATGCGGTAAAAACCAATTTTAGCAACAGTAAAACTTCAAATATTGTTTTAATTGCCCAACTTTTATTGACGTGTCATTCCGGAAGAGGTGGAAATAATTGAAAATAGACATACAGATGTGACAAATAATTTCGACGTATATTTTTGCAATATCAGTTAACATATCACAGTGTCTACCACAAAACACAAGGACATCGTTAAATAGTTTTTTTTTTTTTTTAACAGAGTAACAAGTCGGTACAGTATCTGCAATTTGCCATTTGCACCAATGAAATACAAGCCAGAAGCCCGTGAACGTGGTCAGGTCTGCTGCAAAAGGACTTATTGAATGTCAGTAATGTCCAAAATAAACAATGACATAAAAATGCTTCAACATAAAACATAAGAACGGTTTCTTTTGGGGTGTTGTCAAGGATTCTACTCTTTACACTTTTCATCATGTATTGTTACACTTTTGATTACGCGCAACACTGCCACCTGGCGTTGCATCTCATACAGTCCAATCAAGTGCAACAGCACGATGAAATCAAAAACATCATCATTTTCAAATACGATAAAACAACAGATTAGAAAGAAAAATTAAATTATAGACTTCAGATTTTACACATAGGACAAATGACACCACTCCAGTTCATAAGTGATTGATTAGTTGTGACTGGGGATTGACTCCAGACCAGAGTAATCGAATCTGACCGACGACAGTAAAAGTATAGGAAGTTATCAGCATCGTCATAAACACATTTATGGGTGAGTGGGGATTTAACGTTGGTCTGCGGTTATAGGTTTGATTTTAGAGTGCAGTTGTTATTCGTAGAGCAGTGGTCGCATCGGAGGTCTGTGACAAATATTGATCATGGCGAGCGATTTGCTATCATGCTAACAGCTGTGGCAAGTGGGTCCTTATAGTTTATGTATCGATCAAGTAACTATTGCAAAAAGATGCCAAATGGCCGTGTTCTACTGGTTTATTACATTTAACATTAAACAATCTCGGGAAAACGTACTAAACGTTTGTTGAATATTAGCGCAACTATCTCAGGCATCGGTTTGATACGAAACACATATATTTGTATTGTCTTCAGTGTTCAAGTTCTTTCATCTCCTTCTATGTCTATTTTGTGTTATTTAGAGAAAAAGGTTCTGGAATAATGGCCCCAATGGTAAACTGCCTCCCCGGCTGCAGAGTTTTCAAAGTTCATCGTCTGGTGCTCGCTGCCAGCAGCCCATACTTTGCCGCTCTATTCTCCAGAGGCATGAGCGAGGCAGATAAAGAAGAGGTGGAGATTCTGGGAGTAGATACTAAAGTCTTTGAGGTTTTGCTGGACTTTGTTTATACAGGTATGCATCAAGTCTGAAAGACATATCATTATCTTCTGGGGGGGAAAAAAAAAGAAAAAAACTCAGGCAGTTTATTTAATGAACACATTCTTCCTTTCTCGTCAGGCACAATCAATGTGACAATAGAGAATGTTCAAGAACTCATGGTGGCAGCGGATATGCTGCAGTTGAATGAGGTGGTCTCCATCTGCGGGGAGTTTCTCAAGCGCCACGTGGATCCATCCAATTGTGTGGGCATCTTTCAATTCCTGGAGCAGATTGCTTGCATGGAATTGTTGGAGTTTTCTGAGAACTACATCCATGTTCACTTTCTAGAGGTATGAAACACTTTATCATTTATGTTCATACCTCAGTGTTATTGTTATTGTTCTTCCTGTTGTGTACAGTTATCAATCATCCATCCATTTTCGATTGCGTTTATTTTCATTAGGATCAGGGGTGAGCTGAAGCCTATCCCAAATGAAATTGGGTTTGAGGCAGGGGCCAAATGCTGAGCGCACTTAGAAAAACAACTATTCACTCACATTCACACCTACGCTGTAAAAAACACATCTTGTGTGTGTGTGTGTGTTTTTTTACACATCTTAGAGCCTTAAAATTTTGAGTTATTTCATTTTTTACAGTGCATGTGTAACTGGTGGTGTCCGACTGCATTGTGTTGAAGAATATTGATGACGCATGGCAGGATTTCTTGTGTTGGTTGAGTTTAATCGTCTCAATCCCAAAACCTGACAAAAACAGCAGAAAACAATGTCCTCCTGTCAATTAAAGTGATACAGCATAGCCCTACACAAATTATATGGCACAGCAACATATTCAAATACTTATTTAAGTAATAATAATGCAGTACAGTAAGTATTTCCAAGTAGTTTTTTTTTGTAGCCCTGTTACATGCATGGACAATTTACAGCTTCAATTTAACAAAATATGTGTTATCGAAGTTCATCATAAATTGGATTCTCATAACTACGTTTTATTTGCGAAGACTGATTTTAACCTCCCGGATTATCTTGTGCGTATTGTAAGCCTCCGTTATTTGCTCCACGTTAGGTTTGCATCGGTGACGAGTTCAGCGGCCTCTCAAAGGATCAGATTGTAAAGCTTCTAAGAAGTGAAGAGTTGAGAATTGAGGATGAGTACCAGGTGTTCACTGCAGCCATGGACTGGGTTCTCCAAGATGTGGCAAAGAGAAAAAAATATGTGGTTGAGGTGTTGGAACCTGTGCGCTTCCCTTTACTGTCCCCACAGAGGCTGTTCAAGTACATAGAGGGTGAGGGGGCTTTTAATATTTGCAAACTTGTTTTTAACATTTACAAACACGTGTTTTTGTTTCCTTTTTTTCTTCGTTGTAAATGTATTTTGTCCGATTAAAACTTAAGTTGCAAATTTGATCTTTTAATCAAGGCATGACTGACTTCAGTCTGAGGGTGGCACTGCAGACCCTTTTGAAGGAGTACATTGAGGTCACGAAGTCTCCAAAAGATAAGATGCACTGCCAACTACATCAAGTCAAGATGAGACCAAGAAGAAAAGCCAGGAAATACGTGTATGCCATCGGTACGATTTTAAAAGTCTTATTTTTACTCTCATACACTGAGTTCTGTGAGGTGGGTTTTTAGTTTTGTTTTGTAACTTTTACAATGTGATAATTGCACGGTGAATGAAGTCATGTTGGAGACTGAGAAATAAGTAAAACAAGTATGTGTGAGACACGAGAAATATAGAGAAGAAAATTTAGAGTGATTGGATTTCCACTTTTTTTTTTTGCAGGAGGCTACACACGGTTACAGGGTGGTCGGTGGAGTGACAGCAGGGCGTTAAGTTGTGTGGAGCGCTTTGACACCTTCAGCCAATACTGGACCACGGTTTCATCTCTGCATCAGGCTCGCAGCGGGTTGGGGGTAGCAGTACTAGAGGGCATGATTTATGTAGTGGGAGGTGAGGAAGCGGAGACGATAAATGTCACATCACGTGTGTGAAAATAAGGCTCAACCACTTTTTTTTTTTCACCAGGAGAGAAAGATTCAATGATTTTTGACTGCACAGAGAGATACGACCCCGTGACTAAACAGTGGGCTGCCGTGGCTTCTCTGAATTTCCCTCGCTGTGGAGTTGGCGTCTGCCCCTGCCACGGAGCGCTGTATGCGCTTGGTAAATACCACTACAGTATTGTTGGGACAACTACCGATGTTGTGTGATGTTCTAAATAGATATAAAATATAAGGGCCTAACTTGTATGGATTTTTTGAGGCCGACGTCGATTTTTGGCAGTGAAACATACCGATTAATATGCGGATGTGTGAAAAAAAAATTGTATATATGGCGGCCCGGTGGTCGAGTGGTAAGCACGTCGACCTCACAATGTGGGTTCAATCCCAAACTCCGGCCTCCCTGTGTGGAGTTTGCATGTTCTCACCGGGCCTGCGTGGGTTTTCTCTTGGTGTTCCGGTTTCCTCCCACATTCCCAAAACATGCATGGCAGGCTGATTGAACACTCAAAATTGTCCCGAGGTGAGAGTGTGAGCGCGGATGGTTGTTCGTCTCTATGAGCCCTGCGATTGGCTGGCAACCGGTTCAGGGTGTCCCCCGCCTACTGCCCGAAGACAGCTGGGACAGGCTCCAACACCCCCCGCGACCCTTGTGAGGATTAAGCAGTTCGGAAAATGGATGAGTGTGTATTATACACTCACACACATATGAATCTTTGTCATATATGTGTTTGTGTTACCAGAGTGGAAATGAATTTACCCTTCAGGGATTATAATCAGTGTAGTAAATGACCGATGTTGAATTAAATAATAATCCACATATTCTTGATTTTTTGTTTTCTTCATCAAGATTTCACTATAACAAATGTGGCTATTTTTTTAGCATCAATCATCAAAACAAAGAAATCTTTAGCATTTAATGGTTTCCCATACAGGTGGATGGATTGGCTCCGAGATCGGCAGTTCAATGGAACGTTACGACCCAGAGGAAAACAAGTGGGAGGTCATAGGCAACATGGCAGTTCCTCGCTATTATTTTGGTTGCTGCGAGCTCCAAGGTGTGTCGCTATCTCTTTGTTCAAGCAAACTTTAGGGTACAATCTGAAGACCCTAAAATTAATTTATCATCCAGACAAGATTTGTGTCTCTTTTTAGAACATTTGTCCAAGGACGACATTGTTTCTCTTATCAGGTTTTATTTACGTGATTGGAGGAATCAGCGACGAAGGCACAGAGCTACGCTCAGCAGAAGTATATGATCCAATCAGCCGTCGCTGGAGCGCCTTGCCTGTTATGCTTACACGGCGAGCGTATGTGGGAGTGGCCTGCCTCAACAACTGTATTTACGCAGTAGGGGGTCGGAATGAGGCTGTGGGTGCTTTGGAGACGGTGGAAAAATATTGTCCAGAGCAGGTAACCCTGAACTCTCAACGCCATTCGATTGATCGACAAAATGTGCCATATCGACAGAATTTCAATCGAGGCACTGGATTTTTCTTGTTGAAGAGGTTTCACCTTCACTTCAGTTCTAAGTTTGAGGTGTGGCTAAATCTCCCCAAACAAACAAACAACAAAAGGTATCAAAGGATTTTAATAACCTTTCTAATCTGATATTAGAATTGAAGAAGCCGTTTTGGATTAAAGCCGAAAGCTTTTCAACAAACAGGAAAAGTCCACTTGCCTCAATTCTACCTTGGTGGGTTAACATCACCTGTATGATCTACACATACAAAATATGACGGATGGAAAATTTATGACTAATTCACACCTGTGTGGGTCTATTTTTTTTTTCTCCCCAGGAGAAGTGGTTGGAAGTGGCCTCGATGTCCACAGCACGGGCAGGAGCATCAGTGTCAGCAGTAAACGGGTTGTTGTATGCCGTCGGTGGAAGGGCCGCCAGCAGAACCTTCTCAGCCCCCGTGACCATCGACTCTGTGGAGGTCTATGACCCCCACTTGGACACCTGGACCGAAGTTGGCAACATGATCGCCAGTCGCTGTGATGGCGGCTTGGCTGTACTGTGACCACCTGGACGATTCCAATTGAAACTCTTTTGGAACCCGCATGCCACATCAAAGGAAAAGCCGCACCTTAAGATTACACTTGTTTCACATCGCTGCACATTACTTATTCGTACATGTAATTGTTATGTCTTTAAATTACAGTTGATGTGATGGAAAAGTGCCCCGACTGTTTCTGACAAAATCGTCTGTCTCTATTCTTTCTATGTCCCCTCATTTGTTTTAAATTATACAACTGACCACAAATTTGATCTTTTCTTTTGTTTGTATAAAAACAATCTTTATCTCGTTCTCTTTTCCATTCATCATTGTGAAAGTAGGTTTTTTTTTGGCTCATGCTTATGAGGACTGTTTTGTGATCAGATCTGAAACCACTTTTTGTTTCTTTCTTTCACTCTCCTCAAAAATGTTGACAATGTGTGCGGTGCTACTTGTAAATCTTATCAAAACACTTGAGCCTATTTATCAATGTAAGAAAAGAACATTCAGAAATGCTTCTAAACTGAAACGGTTGCAAAGCCTGTGCTGTTACTACTGGATTCTTTTCATATTGATGGATAAAAATAATGTTTGCAGACATGCCATATTATCCCCCCCAATGTTTTTAACCTTAGGTTAAACTTGCTGAGCTGAACACCTGAAAGGTTGCAATGTTTCCTTCCACTTTGACTATCCCTTATACAAATACAGCATTGCTGTAAAAAAACAAAAAAAACATTGTTTTTCAGTGAATTAAAGTTCCCTGTTGCATATTCTATGATTTCCAGTGATAGTAATGGCTTACATTCTTAAAATATTGACAACAAAATATAAAGAGTACACCATAATCCAACCGCTTATTTTAGCTGCGTTCGATATTCATCGTCATCTTAATTTGTGAACATTTTATGTGACACTGATTTGTAATTCAGGAAATGTGTCTAAAATTACTGAAGCAGAGTGTAAGCAATAAGAGAGATCTATTTATGGTGATTTAACTTTTGTGTTGTTTGGATCAGACTGAAACGTTTTAATCGGTAAACTCTTTTAGCTTCTTCTCAGTGCAGAACTTCTTCAAAATCAGCGTTGCCACCAGTGAGAAGGTAGCAACCAGAGTGAGGACAGTTCTCATGGCTTTGAACCAGGCTGGGTATCCAGGTAGCAGTGTCAAGTCATAGTGTAAAGAAAGTCCTAGTCCCATCATAACCAACATAGCACCCTCAACGACATTGTCCCTGCAGAGCAGAGCCAGCCAGGCCAGAAGTGATGGAACTACGCTGTTGCCCAAGTTCATCCAGTCAGGTTGAGCAGGACTACCATCAGGAATGGCAAACCCCCATCGGGCACCTCCGAGGAAGGATACTATACAAGCGCCATACAGCATTTGAGCATATGCCACTTCTGGGTAGAAAGACTGAGTGGTCGCCATGAGGAGCGGGGCTGCCACAAATGGGATGAGCCCAGAGAAACCAAGGTACAGTGCAGGCTTGGGAGCCTGAGTTAGGGCTCTCAAAGTAAAACCTTCTTTGGTGTCTCTCTTGTCTGAATGGCAGAGACGTGAGCCAGCCCAGTTGATTGGTTTGACGCACAGCAGCCTGTTGGTTGAAGCCAGTTTGGATGGGATCGACAACGGAGAGACCCTCGAGACCAGTTGACCATGAATTGGGTTTGATGCGCTGTCTACCCATCGAGGACGCCACACTGGAATCTGGAAATGCAGAACATTTTTATGCTACTCGGAATAAAATTAGGACTCAACCAATATGATTTTTTTAGGACAATGACGATTTTTGGCATTAAAAAAAGACGGACTACCCATTTAATCGATAGATTTTTTTTTTTACATTGACTTACCTTAATGAGATAGCTACGAGGTGCAAATCCAAACATTTTGAATCTAAAAAAAAAAAAAAGACATTCTACATTAAGACGTAAGAGTACAACGCACAGTTGCGGTATTACATGCAATTTACAAATCCAGATTTCACTTCAATGTTGGGAAACACTAGCGAGTCAACAGCTTCTAAACCTGAGGTCAAGCAATCGTCCAGCAAAAATACGCTTGAATAATGAACTACCCAAACGTTCTTTTGAAAGCGTGTCATTTGTTAAATTTAAATCACTTGTCGATGTTTACGTTTTGAGTAGCTTTATCAGGGGTCACAGTTTCCATCGGTGTTGAATTTATTTCTCTTTCACTGTATTCCATGAATACAAATACAGTACCACGTCGTGTTTACGATGTCTTACCGTCTTATCAAATCGAGTCTGCTCATTTCAGAGTTAATCGAATGTCCTTGCTGTGAAATCGTCCCGTTTTTCTCCAACCACACGAGACAAGTTCTGCTATCGACTATTTTGTCTGTCCATGGCGGGGGAGGATTTATGTGTCATTCAAGAGTGCAAATGCATGAAATACTAAAGATCGCCATTGTGTCCTATAAATGTCGAAAAGTATATGTACGTCGTGCCGTATGAAATATGCGTCAGTAGACGAATATATGAGGGGTTGTAAAATCTATTTAGTAATTTTCAAAATCTCAACTCCAAGCAGTTAAAAACGTACCTCACAGAGTGGAACCTCATGCAGTTGGATAATGACGTGACTTCTTGAACGCAGCCTTATTGAGTATTCGACTACCCCCCACCCCCCACTTTAGGTGCCAGCGCCAGTGGTAAGCGCGTAGAAAACCCAAACAAACATCACTAGCTACTCAACCACAGCGTTATACTCACACTGGAGTGTCATTTCGTTGTGATCGGACTGCTTCGTATACCCTCGAATCTATTAAAGGCTGTTTTGCTTGGGAGAAGGTACGCGGAATTGTCAGGGCAACATTTGCAAGTTAGCTCGCTAACACGTAGCGAGCTGATGAATGTGTGCTGCCGCTGCTAAGGTAGCCATTTTGAAACTGTGTTGTTCCAACGATGCCAGCTCTATTTACCTTTACTGTGTGTCCGCGACAACTGCGAAAACGGGCTATTTGCGCGGTTTTGGTTCAGTGGAACGTCTTAACTTGTTAGCCGTGCGGGGAGGAAGGCAGTGGACCCATACGAGCTCATCGCATGACACCTCACAGTTTTCGGATTCAGTTAACAGGCTAGGTAAGAGCAGCTATTAGCTAACACTTGCTACGCGACTGTTCACGAAGGTAACTGCACAAACGAGTTAGCAGCCGAGTTGATGTCGATTCTAGAGCACCGTCCGGCAGTGATTGGCTTTGATTAAGCTTCGACATTCGAATCGCTTTTTGTCAGAATTGCACCTTTGAACATTTAGCAACTTGTAAGCAGGGTGAAACGTGTGCTCTGCGTGTTGTATTGGTCCCCTGTCGAACAAGAGGGCACGTTTGTTTGTTTGGTTGGTTGGTTGTTTGTTTCCTACAATGCTAACGTTTCACTTAAATAACACTTGTGCTTAGACTGCTAATCCGACAGTGGAACATCGCTGGTGCCCGTAGTAGCTTGTGCGCGTCGCAAACTCATTGATGTTAAGCTATTACGTAAGAGTTCAGTGCGAGAGCAATGCTGTTTGAACCGAGCTTGTTTCAGTTTTCTGTTTGATGTTATACTGTAGCATAATGAAATTTAGAACGAAACGGAAGCAGAGTTCGTTAATCCATTTGATTGAGCATTACTGCCCTGTTGTGCTTCCGCCGTGGGAGAAGTGAGAAAGTGCCGTGGATATTTTTGCATCGGTATTAATATTTCATTAAAAGCTGCCACACATTGTAGCTTTCGTCGTTTGATGGCTCCCAGAGCACAGTGTCTCTTGATTTCGATTCGCGAGAGATGTAAGGCATTCAAAAGTAGATATCTGGAGCTTTGATTACCGTATTTTGAGTTTGATGGCCAGTGTATTTTTACATAGACTGCTGTAACAGAGAAGTAGTTTGTTTTGCAGCTTCATTGGCATATCTTGCGAAAACGAACAGAATGTTCTGCCACAGTAATTAATTCAATATACTGTCTGTGATGTTAATTCAACTTGAGTTGGTATTTATAGTGAATTTGTGATTGATGAATTGATTTTTTTTTTCTGACTGGAGTCTTTGATTTGCAGGTGCAGCTCCTTTGCAGAATCAACTGAAAACCAGGAAGTAAATAGAAAACTGTTCAGCAAGGCAAACGCTTCTTAAACCAGGAAAACATTTTCAACACTTTAACGTTTTGGGGTTGCGATTTTCCTCTAGGAAGGCCGAAAGATTTTTTTTTGGACAAGACTGATCAATATAAGGGAGCTTTTTACAATTTTTTGAACTCTAATATCTATGAAATCAGACCTTCGCCAGCTTTCATCTTCCAGAAAACTACACATAGTTAGATGGGCATTCTACAAATATGAACGCGAATCACTCAACGATAAAGACATCTTTATAATGCATCACCCATCCAGCTCTCTGTTTCACTAACCAGAAATGAAAATGACGGCAATGTAGCTAACACAGGTCTGTTGTCTTCATTGTCATGTGACTTTGAACTAGCAAGCATCTTTACCTTCCAACTCTGGCAGTCTTTTCACCACATTAATGAGGTGATCAGTGGGTTTCCTACAAAAGACTGTCCCTAAACTCTTTTTTTTTTCTGCATGCGTTTCACTAGATTCTAAAATGATTCGGTAAAAGTTGAATTGATGCCAATACCTACTGGCCCACAGTGTGGCAGGACGACACTTGTTTCATTCTCCCCGTCTTGGTGTCAGAGTGGAACTGCTTCACAAACTGCTGTCCATGTGCATGGGCAAAGCCCTTCTACACTTCCACAAGCTCACAACCTAGTTCTTCTGAACCCGTGGGACAAATGACCCCCCATCAATAGAATCTTTTGCAAATTCGGCAGAGTCTGCTCATGTTTCATGTGTCCCAACTAAATCATTGAACAACTTTAAACCGTATCACTCGGGACAAGATTTGCTTCGGGAGCATCTTGGGAATCTTGTTCCTCGGAGACGACTTCACTTGCGTGTTTGGAAATCCATCCTCTTCCTTCTTTGGCTTGTCGTCTGGATCACCGATTCCAGCTGATTCCTGCAACCCTTGACCCGTCTCCCAGTGATCCACCCTGGACGAAGCGATCTGCCTCTTGGGAAAGGGGCTGCGCTGTCCTCCCAGAGATTTAGAGGGGTAGTGTTTTTGCCGCTCCCCGTCTGTCAGTGCCATCAGGCCTGAAGAACAGAGACCAGGTGGACGAAGGGAGAAGGCCAAGGACTTCAGAGCCATTGACTCTGGGGTAACTATTACACTCAACCCGACACGACAACACTGTTAGTTACGACACTCCTAACGACCAATTCTTTTGTAAGATCCTGGCCATGAGGTTTGATGCCTCAATCCACTGACCAGAAACACTGGACCTAAATGGCGCAGCATGACTTCGTCCCTGCCTGGCTTAACTTCTCCACACCCCAGCCTGCCAAGGTTTGTGTGGAAATGTTATGCGTGCACGCGAGAGTAAGTGAAGCAGACAGGGCTTCAAACCTCACTGAGACACTACGTGCGCGAGAAGTGAGTTTGTAGTCAGCCTAAGTCACGTAGATGTTGTGAGCCAGCACAAATGACGCAAAGACGTGGCGTAGTGTTTTAGTCCAAGTGTGGTGCAAAACACCTCGTTAATGTGCAAGGTTCCGGATTCGAGTTGAAATTTGTTGCAGGTCAATGGAGATTCAAAAATCACACCTGTCAGATTACGTTGAGCAAATGTGGTGTGCACAAAGCACTTCATTGTCGAGTTGTTTGCTTGTGTAGTGATTGTCGAGATGCTGTTCAGTGTAGTCTATGAGTCGGGACGTTTCCCAGCTGGGCGACTTAACTTTAAAATGCATTCAAGGCAGAGAAAACAAGAAGAGCCACCGCTTTGACGACAGTGCTCTGTTTGTTCAGCGATTGCAGCCCAATGTTTAATGCCATTGTTTTGGCTCCGGTTTTGTGGTGTTTTAAAAACCGCGGCGCATGAAGGATTGTCAAGTTACCATTATGCAGTGTCAGATGATGGCAAGGGGATTTTAGTGGGTCATAAAAGAAAAAACAAAAAAGAATTGTTGGTCATACCTCCACCAAACAAAATTGGTTTAAGTGATTGTGTTCATATAAATTGTTTTGAACCAGGCCAAAAGTTCAATAAGATCCCCGTTGTTTAAAATCCCCTTGCGTCCATCTTTTTCAAATGTTATTGGATTTGATCAAAATGTGCTGTTGACTTTAATGTGAACATGATCAAGATCAAAGAGCCGGTTGTATTATTTTTGTCGGCGTTTAAGATGGAAAAACACATCTGGTTCAAATTTTTGTGCTGATGTTTGATCGTTTTGCGTGTCGTTTGATGTATCTGGAGAAATTCTAAAGGCGGTTTGTTATTTGGGTTTTACAAATTTTTAAGCCATTGTGGAAGTCGTGCTGTCTTTATGCTTGTATATACAATACAATACATGCTGATTTATATAGTGCTTTCACAACAGCGGCAGCTGTAACAAAGCGCTTAACAATATACTCGTACAACTCTGACATGTCATAGTGCACGCATTTTTGCTCCTTTACAATTGCACGAGTGTGATCGTCAATTGGTGATTGAAACTTGACTTGTCTTGAGAATTGCCTTTCGCCTCATTGACTCTTATCTGCTGTATTTCTCGCCACCTCCTCCAGTCCACTGCTGCCACCCTCGATAAACAAGGCGAGCCCCACCACCACAGGGAAGGCAAAAATGCTGTGAGCCGCCGCCGCCACAACTCTTCCGATGGCTTCTTCAACAATGGCTCCCTGCGCGCTCCAACAGGTACCGTTAGTGACGAAAACCACTTTGCAAGAGCAATTACGGCGGTTGGGCAGATCAGGACTGGAATGCTTGCGATCTCACTGTACTGATGCATGGGGAATAAAAGTTGTCCGATAGATTAAGGGTACATTGAATGGGTGCAAGTTCTGCTGTGGATGAAGGAGAATAGAGGCAATTTGTTGCTCGTGCTTTCATATGCTGCCACTTGGGACATTGTTGCAGTTTGTCTAAAAAAAAATACAAACTAATGTGGTGTGTTTTGCATGACTAGTCTTGGCGTTTTGTTTAGTTTTGTTTTTTTTCCCCCGTGTTCCATTGGAAGATACTATGGATTCGTATTTGTCAGGTTGTTGATGAAGACGCTTTTCTTTGTGCGGAACGCATGTCATATTCAACTTGAGTCTTATGAGCAGTGCTGTAAATTGTATTTCACTCTTCAGATTTGATTCTAATGGGCAGTTTATGTAATTGAAAAGACAGTTTCGTCTGTGCTTGATTTGAACAGTAGGTGGCATTTGTATTGCGGATGCTTGGGAATTACAGCAGGGCTAGAAATTCTTCTGTCAGAGAGGTTTCAGTGAATGGATTGAAAATTAATGGGTGGCAAACGTATACTTGACAAAGTCAGAGATGGATGTGCAGAGTCACCAGCAGCCAGTGTCAAAGAATAAGCGTATACGTTTGGTGCTGTCTGTCTACTTGGGCACGGGCGATATCGATTTTTCAAAAAACATTTTTTTTAAAAGCCCGATGCAGATTCCAATATTTGGCAGAATGCATCCATTTTCCGATCCGCTTATCCTCACAAGGGTCGTGGGTGGTGCTGGAGCCTATCCCAGCTGTCTCCGGGCAGTAGGCGGGGGACACCCTGAACCGGTTGCCAGCCAATCGCAGGGCACATATAGATGAACATCCACGCTCACACCCACACCTAGGGACAATTTTGAGTGTTTAATCAGCCTGCCATGCATGTTTTTGGGATGAAACCGGAGTACCCGGAAAAAACCCACGGGGGTCCGGGAAGAACATGCAAACTCCACACATGCCGGAGCTGGAATTGAACCCGGTCCCTCTGCCCTGCGAGGTCAACGCGCTAACCACTGGTCTACCGGGCCTTCGCCCCTTTGGCAGAATAAAATTCAAAATATCCAATTAATCTGACGATGAATTACAAAAGTGCATAGTCAATCAAATAGCTTCTTTGTTGGACTCTTAATGAATCCAACTTCATGTAGTGCAGTTCTAACGCTCTATTCTGGCATATTTTCTGAGACAACACCAGTCATCAATAATACACATGGATATCAGAATCATCTTTATTGGCCAAGTATGTGGGACACACAAGGAATTTGTCCCTGGAAGTCCAGGCTACGCTAGTATTATCAATAACAAGCAACTACGATCAACAAGGACATGACAAATAAGTATCGAAAAGGCTTTCCGTAATGCAAGGGTACCGTTGTGCCATAATACCACCTAATGACAGCAGAGATAAAGTGATGCAATATGACGGTTGTGCAGTTGGTGCAGATAATCGTTGCATCATTTTTCGAGTGACCAGTAGCAGTAATTGTCGTACAACTTTGGGTGTGCAAATATACAGGCAGGCTTTGAGCGCTTTATTTCAAGTTTCTGGTGCTGTGGAATACTCATCAATGACAATTGTTCAAGTGAGCGAATTCCAACTAACATCTGACTGTTGTACAATACTTTGTTCTTAAGTATTTGTTCAGCCTTACAGCACAGAAAAATCGGCTGCTATTCACACCCACCCCCATTTTCATGTAATCCTAGACAGTCACATTGTAAAAACTGCGAGTCGACCTAAAACTACAACAACCTGTATTTCCTGCTACAACCATGTGCCATCAGCGCCACAAAACCACGCAGTCTTCTTGATCTGTTCCGAATGTGGGGATAAATGTTGAATGCAAAAGCTATTTACATTTGGAATAAACAATTTTTTTTCTCCCTTTTTTACTATTTCGGGAAAAGTAATTGTTTCTCCGCAACGTTCCCTTAGTGGAAGACGCGATGCCTTATCATCATCACCATGTCAATTCAACCGTTTTCATTTTTCTCTTTTTCTTCTCAAGTGGTCTATGGAAAGAAAAATCTAATTCCTATCAATCCAATTCTTATTGAATGTGGCGTATGCTCATATCAGATATATTGTACTCACTCCATCGAGGCAAACTTGATGTCATCGAACTATACCGATCAGTAATGTAGCGACGCAACAATAACACCAGCCGGGAACGTAAGCCACAGCAAAATCGAATATTATGGTCTAAATATGGTAAATTAGAGGCATATTCACCATCAACAAATTAATTTGATTAACATCTTTTAACTTTGGGGTCATTTTGATGTATTCCTCCCTAAAGTGATTCCAATCCACATTGTTCTCCTTGGTTTGTGTCAGATACTTCATTTGTTGACTATTTAAATCAGGGGTAGGGAACGCCATTTCTTGCACGTTTTAGATCTCTCCCTACTTCAACCCACCTGATTCAATTGATCAGCTCGTGAGCAAGCTCTGCTGAAGCCTAAAATGATCATGATCAATTGAATCAGCTGTGTTGGAGTAGGAGAGATCTGAAACAGGCAGAATATGGCTCTCGGGGAGTTCCCTACCCCTGATTTAAATAGACCCGGAATTAAGAATCCCAAGCTCCCCTGTACATCCCGAATGTCTGTCACAAGACTTTCTTGATAAGTCTTGTCACCGATTGACCTAAAATTGACACCGGTTTTATTTTTAGTCTTTTCATCTATTTATATTTTCTCCCGAGTACGGATTTGTGCTATCTTAAGCATTTGGATTGGAAGGGTTTTAAATGTCAAAACGTTCACGTCGACACAAGCTCCCAGTGGAACGTCTCACCTTAGGAAGAAGTACATTCTAGCATTGTGTCGGATTCCTCCACGCAAACACAAATCTGACAAAGAATTGTTTCAGTGAGTCAAGGGTCCATTCATTGACATTAGTCAGGCCACATGCGAGGATGCTGTAATAGCCAAAACAACATGTCCTGTTGAGTCAACAACAACAACAAAATGACAAATGAAAGGAAATCACTTCCATTTTACATGATTAAAAGAAAATAGAAAGGGGGAGGTGCTTGAGTTTAGTTTTCTTCTCTTTTTGTTTGCCTTCATACATTGCGTCCATCACTTCAGTCATACGTTCTTTGCTCATCTCTGCGTCTGAGAATAGCTTATTGTGCTTGTTCAAAATTCAGGCCACTCTTAGGGAGCACTTTGTTGCTTGTTCATAGATGTGATTACCGTACTAGAACCCTGCTTGCAGGTTGATGTGACCATTTTGTTGCATGTACTTTTGTCGTTCTTACCACTGACTTTTAAGACAATGTCCCAAGAAGCATTTTCTCGCATAATGGCGTTTCAAATTAAAAATAGCAAAAGTCTCTTGGCATATTAAGCACACGGGTCTTGCGCTGATGGGTTTGGGGGGGGGGGGGGGTTATTGCAATTTTTCAGTCCATTCTTCTCGATGAATTGATGGATTTTCATGTCCGCTTTGCTTTCAGCAGTGAGTTTGCAAAGCGTTGTTTTGCTATTATCCCAAATCCTACAGCAGACGGTGTCGAACAATTCTATGTATTGCTGTGAGATTGAAAATTAAAACCGCAGCAGTGAACTGTGAGCGACCCAGAAAAACTCTTGTGTATTGTTGGCCTGGAGACAAGACCGCCTGTCTTGTCATCATCTTTTTGATCACTATTGATCGTGATAGGAAATTTCCACATTTTAAATTGGCAACAGCTAAATCTGTAGTTGCTAAGCAGTATGACTGCTCTGTTTTTTTTTTGTTTTTTGTTTGTTTGTTTTGGGTTTTTTTTTTTTTTTTTTGCCGGGGGGGATTTGTTTGTTTTTTAGGTGATGGGTGGCAACAGCCCTCGCTGCTTCTGAGACATGACTCTGTGGATTCAGGCGTGGCCAAAGGGGGGCACAGCGGGCTAGCAGGGGGCTCGTGTTGGAAGGACACACCCACCTGGCACGGAGCTCCGAGGGGCGCCCAGGACGGCCACCATCACCACCACCACCAAGGGCGCCACCCGAAACGGGGAGGGGGCGACAGAGACAGGCAGGGAGGGCACCGGCAGCGCAATGGTAACTTCCATCCCCGTAAGGGCACCTCATACCAGGACAAGTTTCCCAACGAAGAACGCAAAGACAAAAAGGATGACAAGCTGAAGTTTGTGGAAGAGGACTTTGTGAGTAGCATCATTTGTTTTAAACGACTTTACTGACGATTCCTCACGATTTGATTCGATAATTTAATCCTCAAAATCCAAACACATTGGGCACACGTTTTCCCAGTGTTGCACTGGATTTCATCTCAACCAAACCATCTTATCACTGCCTGCAATGTTTAGAAACAACTCAACTGTATTTATAGATCACTTTCAAACAGCCATTGCTGCATAAAATAAAAAAAAAACAAGATGGGTGTATTCTATTTTATCACAAGCCTGCGCAGGCATTATGAACACTCTGAGAATTCTTACATCTGAAAGTCACACCTTTTCTACTAGAATGCCGGAATTTTCTCCACAACCGTCAATTGTTCTGCTTCTTTTGTAGCCTTCCCTCAACCCTGAAACAACTGGAAAGCCCGGGACTCAGATGAGAGCAGTTGCCCCCCATGCTGGAGTGTGGGGTAAAGAGCTCCGTGTCCACTTGCAGTCTTCACACTTTTCTTGTTGTTTTCTAACAGCCGCCTGGAATTTTTCTCTCCTGCCCCAGAAAATCCTCCGAGTGGCAAGCAGATGGTGTCCAAAATGTTGGTTATCAAGAAGGTTTCCAAGGAGGACCCCAGCACTGCCTTCTCGGCGGGCTTCGCGAGCGCCGGCGCCTTGCCAGCTAATGGCGCTAAAGCGCCCATCACAGGCTCCAGCGTCTACAAGAACCTGGTCCCAAAGCCTGCTGTGGCTCCCACCAAAGTATGAATGACCGCCGTGTGTCAAATTTGCTAACTAATCCAATATGATTTATTAATGTATGTACGTATTTATTTTAAAGAGCACCCAGTGGAAAGCCGGCGCAAGGGAGCTCGCCAAGTCTGGCCGAGATTCCGTCTTTACCAACCCCGTCTCTGCTGCCAAACCCAGCACGCCGGTCAGTGCACTACAGCACAACACCCCTAAAGAGGTGAGCTTTCTTAATTGCTCAACTCAAACTTCAGGGGTTCGTTTCAGTCGGTCGGTAGGCTTGATTTTGTTTTTTCTGTTATTTTTAATAAGGTGTTTGATACTTGAATCAACCAATGTATGGTCCCGGTTCAATTAGAGCTGGTGTTTAAACAGTCATCCATATCAAGCCGGTCGCATTTTGACATCAAGAGAACAAGACGACACCTCACAATGGACCAGCAGTACCTTGCCACTGTGATGCTTCAAACGGGATGTTGTCAGACGGAAGTGGCGACTGAGCTTAGAGTGTCATCAGCAGGTTACAACAGAGATACCGGGAGACTGGAAGAGTCACAGAAAGATGTAAAAGTGGACGGCCTGTGGCCACATCCCATGCCAATGACCGAAATCCGGATGATGAATGCCACTCAATTGCTGCCACTCAACAAGCTGAGAGGCAACCAAGTGTCACGTCAGACCATTCGAAACCATTTACATCCGCGTGGTCTGCGTGCTAGACGACCTGCAAGTGCACCTGACCACTCCACCAGGCACAGGCGTCATCGCCTTGCACGGACCGCGGTGCATTTGCGCTGGACGAGGGACCGGTGGCCTTCACTGGTGTGTTCTGATGAAAGTAGACTCACGTTGAGCAGAAATGATGGCCGCCAACGATGTTGGAGAATGCTCTGCATCACCCCCTGTTGTCGTCAAACGAGCTTTCGGTTGTTGGGGTGGTTAGTGTGGTCCAATTGGGTCCAGTTGGTACAGAACTGCCCTACGCTTTGTGAATGGTACAGTGACAAGTCCATACTACCTGAATAACATTATTCATCCAGTGATTGTGCCGCTACAATGAACAACACGGGCCTAATTTCATCTTCATGGATGACACTGCTCCAACTCATCAAGGTCGCATCATCAGGGAACGGCTGTTGGAGACTGGTGTGCCTCACATGGAATGTTGGCCTGCACTTTCTCCAGACCTGCATCCTATTGAAAACCTGTGGGATCAGTTGAGTCGCCGTGTAGAGGCCCGAAACTCTGCATCTCAGAACCTCAATGACCTGAAGGCTGCCCTTCAAAAAGAATGGGATGTCATGCCTCAGCAGACAAGAAGTCGACTTGTGAACAGCATGAGACGTTGTCGTCAAGCTGTAATTCATGCTCAAGGGCACATGACGATGTTGAAATTATTTTGTTGTGTTGTACCCACCATTGTCGTTAACTTTTGTTTGTGTTTTTAAAAAAAACATGGTGAGAGAGGGCCTTAAAAAAAAAGATTTGCAAAAAAATGCAATATTGAGGGTAAACAATAATAATTAGATTATTTTTCAAAAGCCCCTTTTTATTCTGGTAGAAAATATTCTACCTTCACCTCTGAACAGCCAAGTTACAGCTGACAAGCTCGGAAAGAATAATGAGCTTGGCGGGTCTTTGCTCAGAAAAGCAGTCAAAGGAGAAACAGGAATGAACCCAATTGGTCTCGGTGTCGCCATCTCTGCAGCATCCTTCCAGCACGACGCCTCCCATAGACATCGCCCCGTCAAGGCTGAAGCTGATGCGCCGTGGTCCGGACCGAAAGAGTGAGTTCCTGCGAGCTCTGAAGGACGAGGGCACCGGAGAACTGACAACAAGCAGCAGCCCGGGAACATCAGGAGAGGTCAGGCATGGCTCCGTTTGCATCTTGCGTTGTTCATTACCTGCCGCGCATGTCAAAAATCTGCGCACCCCCACTGAAATACGGATTTTGGTGTGTGCGTGTGTGTGTATGTGCGCTTTCAAATCCAATTGCCTTTGTGCAGTTCATGTCTTCAAATTTATTGCGTGGTGAGAGGTACAACTCCTTGTGTAACCCCATAAAAAAAAAAAATTCTGTCAAATCATGTGACCTCCATTGTGAGACGAATAAAGGTTTTCTAATTCTATTTAATAAATTGTCAGTGGCTGGGTTTACAAAAACAAAACTGTGATTCCCGATTGAGGTGTTTTATACAGAGCATTTCTATTCCGCTTAGTGATTCGGTTACATTCTAATTGGAATGTAAACCCGAGTGTCTGAATTGTAAAATGCCTGGAATATTAATATTTGACACACTGAAAATCCGTACATGCAGATTTTGTTGGTATCTTGAGGGTCGTGTGATTGTGTCCAGGGTGAAAGCAGCACCCCGGAACCCAAAGCCTACAGTGAGGATGTCTGCCACGAGAATGGGTTGTCCTACTCTCTCAGTGACTCTGACACAGAACACCTGTCCAGCTCCCTGGAATCTGAGCACAGGTATGACAACACACACACACACACGCTCAGTTTGTGTGTGTGCGCCATCAGAGGCTCAGGTTTTATTTGGATCATCTCCAAAATTTGTTTGTAACTGTTCTTAAGATTTGAGCTTGGACCCTACGTGGCAAATTGCTTAAATTTAAATGACATTAAAACACGGTTGTCCTGTTCGTTAACATGCTAAAATAGTTTCATGTCGGCTGAAGGGGGCAGTAGTGTGCAACACTGCATATTGCAAATGAAATAATAAATATGGTCACAGCCATACAGGTGGTCCCTGTTTTGCGGTGGTACGACATAACAGGTTGCAAAAGAAGGCACACTCAGTTACTGGCGTACTTGCTGGATTTCCTTTGATTGCTTTTTTTACTCACAGCCTCAGGGTTTTTTTTAAATGCAGTTATTTACTGTAATTATGACTTCCCTACTGTGATAAACTACGAAGAACTTTAACAATCTCTGTTTTGGACTCATGGTACCTCCTTGACAGTGTCATTCACTGTGTAGGCCAGGGACTCCTGACAGGGTGGAATTTTCTTTTTTTATTTCTTTCAAGGAACCCTTCATCAGACCACCACTAATTAAACATAACTACAGTGTGTACCCAAGTGCCATTGGAATTATTAAAAAAAAAACCCATACATTTGTAAAAACGGCCTATTTTCATAATGTGATGATAACAATTTGGGGGGGAGGGATTAGCGGTATTCGGGGTTATTTTTTTCAGTGGTTTCCTTCACTATAATAGTTTTGATTCAAGCAGGGATGTCAGCTTGAAGAAAATCAATTTGGAGCAACGTGTTTGTGCAGGTTGCTGAAGGCCATGGGCTGGCAGGAGTACCCCGAAAACGATGACAACTTCCTGCCTCTGACCGAAGATGAGCTGAGAGAGTTTCAGACGAAAACGGAGCAAGTGAGCAACGGTCCGGTTGATTGCTGCCACGTTGAACAGATCAAACGTGAGGTCACGTGATATCCTTCTGTGTTGTCCGAGCAGCTGAAGCGCAACGGCCTGCAGAAGAACGGCATTCTGCCCAGGGCGCGGGGTGTCACCCTCCACTTCACCCCCTGGAGGAGTGTGGCCGAGGCGCATGTGGAGGAAGGGTCCGAGTCGGAAACCAGTAGCAGCAGCCAGACCTCTGACGACGACGACTGCATCAAATCCTAGCGTGGTTTTACGGAACAAAAAAAAGAGAAACAACGCAACAGCCAACACATCTCAGCAAGCCACCCACCCTCCTTTCTATCTCATCTTTTTTTTTTTTTTTTTTTAAAGAGCACCATTTTGAATTTTTGATTATTTTTTGTTGTTGTTCTTGCACAAGGGAAAAACCAATCATATCCCAGTGAAGGGGGAGATTTCTGCTCTGCCAGACGTTGTTTTCCCTGCGTTTCCTCCTTCACTGCAGTCCTGCTCTCTGACCCTGCCCTCCTCCTCCTTTTTCTTCCTCGCTTTGTGGAACTGAAGTGTTCATCAAGAAAAAGGGCAATGAATGCACACTTGATTCTGCTTTAAACAGACTAACTCATTTCATTGATGATGCTGATGACACATTATTAATGATATTAATAAAATTGGTTCCTGACAAGCTGACGTTTCAAGCTGTTGACTGTGGTGTTTGAGTCGAATGGATCAAGCCCAAGTTCCTCATCCTCAAAAACTGAAAAATTCTCCCACTTTTTTTTCCCCATATTGGCTCAGTGAGAGCACATCCAAGAGTTTAACCGAGGATGCACAGCCTACAATGAATAAAGTGTTAAAGATTTTAAAAAAATATGTATTGCATTGTGTTTGTGAAACTGTCTTCTAATGATGTTCAATATATGCTTGAATGCTCCGCGTCAAAAGTGGTGGGGAGGAATTGACCCAGTGGTTTACATATGTGTCCTCACAGTTTGAAACTTTAGTTTGTATTTTCTCTCGCTATGCCGCCCACCCCACACATTGGCGATATTATCCTCTGTGTCGAGTCTTCGATGCGTAATGCTGCAGCGGTAGGGAACTCTGGTTCCTCGAGAGCCATTTCTGCCTGTTTTCGATCTCTCCCCACTCCACAACACACCTGATTGTTAATTATCGTTTCAGAGCCTGATGTTGAGCTAATCATTTGAATCAGGTGTGCTGAAGTAGCTCGAGATCTAAAACAAGCAGGATATGGCTCTCGAGAAACCGGGGTTCCCTACCCGCGGTATACCGAGTAAACTGGGACCGAGTATTTGAAGCGCGCACCGAGAAAATGCTCGGATGATGACAATCGAAGCCTCGAAACCGGCCGTATCACGTGACCGGTTCAGGAAGTACATCGACGAGTTCAGCTCCTGATTTATGCGGCGACGAAACACGACGGATGCGGAGTTTGCTGCCATTATAAGGGTCACAATGCAGTCCTCTTTTGCTCCCGCTGCCTCTTGTGTGAGTTCCATTTTTTTCCCACAATACACACTCAATTACTGCATTTTCCTCCATCCTTTCCATGTCAATTTCATTTTATGAGTAATCCATAGCAAAACTTTGCCCAAGAAATCCTCCTCCTTGCATGTCATGTCCACTTGATTGACGACATTTGAAGCCTCGACACACGAGTCAAACTAATTGCATGGAAAGCCTCAAAGCGTTTTAGAGCTTTATGTCACCATCACTACCACACATTCCACTAAAAACATCCACGGTGACTTGTCCATCGGGTGTGAACTGTGGTCGGCAGGCAACGAGGTCAGCTTGTACTCCACTTCAACCCAAAGTCGTTTGCGATCAGGGGCTAGTTCAATTCAAGTCCCTCCAACTTTAATGCAGGATAAACAGGAAGCTTATCACCTTAAGTTTTTTTTTTTTTTTTTTTTTTTTATTAGGCAAAACAAGAAATTACAATTTCAAGGAACAGGGCAGTGCAACGATGCAGGGCGGAACAATGCCAACATTTCTGCTTGGATATTTTAAAGGAACCACAGTTGCCAAACGGGTGCAATCAGAGTGGCCAAACAGGCACAAAATGTTTAGATGGGACATCAGAAACCTGAGACGACAACAAATCCAGCCATGTTAAGAGACCTACCGATGTTGGCATTGTTTCACCACATAACTTCAAAGATGTACAAAACCACTTTTAATTCAACTGTACAAAAGCAGAAAATGCACGAATAGACACAAACAAGTATACAGGATCTTGGACACAATGCCGTGTCCTTGCTGAGGTAAAGTGAGGACGAAGAGGTCTCTTTCACACTGCAACAGAATAAGAAAAAAACAAAACAGTTATCACCAAGTAAGCAATAGATGACTTCAGAGACTGTCCAGGAATAAAAACCAGCCCTCACCGCGAAACTTCCCATGCGCTTAGCGTGCCCCATTAGTGTCACCATTGGCTTTTTGCACAGCACACGTCTCCTGAGCATCATCTTGCTTGGCCTTCTTGACGATGCCTTCTTTCTCAGGACTCTCCTCTGGCTTCCTCTGAAACACACACAGGTTTAGGTTAGACAACAGCGTGGGGCACGAGTGCCGTTCGTTTCGGACCCCATCATCGTCCCCACCTTTTTTCTGACCAAGTGGCTGATATCAGAGACTGGGGCACTGGCAGCGGACCCGATGGCAGAACTGAATGTGGTGGTTGACGTTAAGTCGCTTGTCTGAGTCGGGGAGGAGAAACAACATGAGCACTCGTTTGATTTTACACGCAAGCATGTATGCACCACCGGGGACATATTTCACAATCGGGCAGGACAGAATTGTTCAGGGGTAAACCAAAAATGATTGCTGGCAACACTCACTGCTGATGTGTCACCACTCTGTGCAGCAGACGAAGTGGAGGCACCATCCTGACAAGCGCATTACAACAAGTAAGCTTACAGTCAAACCGAAGATTTTTAGTGAGCCGCATGTCGAAAAGCGCCCTACCAGCACAGCCTTCATGGCGGTGGCGTCCTCCACTTTCTCTTGGATGTCTGGCAGCAGAGCCTTCAGCTCCTCCATCTCCTGCCTCTCCTCAGAAAGCGCCTCAGGACCAGCAGCCTTTGCAATCAGCTCTGTTAGATTTTCTGTGAAACAACGTGGTTGTATTGTGCGATTACAGACAAGGGGAAAGCCTTGAGCCATCTCACAGGACCACAAAAAGGAACAAGGTTCAGTTTGAATAAATTAAAAAAAAAAAAAAGGTTTGGGCTGGTCAGCCGAAAGGTATAATTTCAGGATGAACCTAAAACAAAGTGGTAACCTTTACACGTCAACGTTATTTGACTTAACTTTTGAACTCACGGGTCCACCTAAGGGGAAAATCAAGTCAAAATTTTTCTTTACAATAAATATGTTCTACGTGCCCCCATTAGTTTAAATTCTGTATTGTTTGTGGAATAGGAATTAGCTTGCTAACGTCACATGACCACACTCAGAAAACAGGTGAGCCATGATTGTGGTTATCTGAGCGACTGTGATGTCATTTTCAGTCGACAGCAAGTAGCAAAATGGCTGCCCCCCCCCCCGAGACTGATTAAAAACGGACGGATTTTGCTGCTCAATTCATCTTCCAAATTACAACCAGATAGAGAGTCCTCTGCACATGTCAAATAGGATCTCCTGTTACATTTAAATAGCCGCTGAATTTGAAATCTGGATCAAGATGTGGATTTTAACTGTTATAATCACCCTTCAAACTGCTTGACAAAGAAAAACATGAAAGTTGATCTGTCAAGCGGATTGCCGGTAAGTGTTAAGCGGGGAACATCCTTGGAAAAATCCACTTGAAAAAAAACCTTAGTGGCAATTCGAATTGTAAACTAAAATGGCCGCGCTGGCCCTCGCTCTCACCCAGCCTGCTCTTGATGACAGAAACGGAACGGTTGAGCTCGTCGATGGCCTCTTTGTATTGCTGGTTCAAGGTGAAGGTCAGACCCAGTTGGTAATGCGTCTCGGCAAGGAGTCGGCTGTCGGCGTCCAAGTGTTTCAGCTGCAAGGAAAGACACTCCTGGAAGTCCTCCAAGGCTTGGGTGTAATTCCCTGCGGGGCGGCGGGGAGCGAGCGTTCATTTCTCGGGAAGTTTCACGGCGTCTGCAAGGTGGCGTTCAGCCTCTTGAACGTACCCGACTCCACAGAAACTTCACCCAGCCTTAAATGGGCCTGAGCTGCCATGAGCTGATCCTCCTTGGGCTCTTTTCTATGTTGAGGACAAGAAAAGACAAAGTTTGGTGACAGGCAAGATAATTAGAGGGGCAACGATTAATCGCTAATCAGATTTACTGATTCCTTTTGATCGCCAAATCGCTGAGAAATCTTGTAAGCCGCCCCCGTACATCTTGCGCTCATTAAATTTGCTGTATTTTAAAATGAATGAGTAAATAAATAAACAAACTAAAACTAATACAAAAAATAATAAACAAAACTGAAACAAAATAAAATTAACCCAATCCAAAAATGAAACAAATTAAAAAAAGATAAAAGTCAAAACGAAATCAAACTATAATGAAAAATCCCGAACTATTATCACCCTGGTCTGCACTGACCTCTTATAGATGACCTTGGCTACTTCCAGCATCTCCCAAGCCAACTGAAGGTTTCCCACCTCCTCTTCCTCTTCTTCGTTGCTCTCCTGCAAAACATTCATGTTAATTTTGGACATAGGCTCGGCTATGCAGTTTGTTGTTGTTGTTGTAGTACCTTCTCTCTCGTGTCATTGTCCTCGTCTTCCTCCTCATCTTCATCTCCTTCTGAAAACAACTTTGTTCAAATATTTCAGGGCAGACAACTGCGACCAGTCCAATAGACAAACTCACCGTCATCTCTTTTTGCTGGTTCTTCTTCCATCTTCTCAACTGGTTCATCCACCTTTTTGTCGGCGGGCTCCCCCCCCCCCCCGAGACTGATTAAAAACGGACGGATTTTGCTGCTCAATTCATCTTCCAAATTACAACCAGATAGAGAGTCCTCTGCACATGTCAAATAGGATCTCCTGTTACATTTAAATAGCCGCTGAATTTGAAATCTGGATCAAGATGTGGATTTTAACTGTTATAATCACCCTTCAAACTGCTTGACAAAGAAAAACATGAAAGTTGATCTGTCAAGCGGATTGCCGGTAAGTGTTAAGCGGGGAACATCCTTGGAAAAATCCACTTGAAAAAAAACCTTAGTGGCAATTCAAATTGTAAACTAAAATGGCCGCGCTGGCCCTCGCTCTCACCCAGCCTGCTCTTGATGACAGAAACGGAACGGTTGAGCTCGTCGATGGCCTCTTTGTATTGCTGGTTCAAGGTGAAGGTCAGACCCAGTTGGTAATGCGTCTCGGCAAGGAGTCGGCTGTCGGCGTCCAAGTGTTTCAGCTGCAAGGAAAGACACTCCTGGAAGTCCTCCAAGGCTTGGGTGTAATTCCCTGCGGGGCGGCGGGGAGCGAGCGTTCATTTCTCGGGAAGTTTCACGGCGTCTGCAAGGTGGCGTTCAGCCTCTTGAACGTACCCGACTCCACAGAAACTTCACCCAGCCTTAAATGGGCCTGAGCTGCCATGAGCTGATCCTCCTTGAGCTCTTTTCTATGTTGAGGACAAGAAAAGACAAAGTTTGGTGACAGGCAAGATAATTAGAGGGGCAACGATTAATCGCTAATCAGA